TTTATCAAAAAATAATAATTATTTTTTAATTTTTTTTTATAAAAATTATAAGTGTTACGGTCCCTGTTATTTTGTGATGCCAAGAAACTAGCTAAATTTGTCCATTAATGACGGAAAAATATGTTTCTTTACATTTATTATATGGTATTATTTATTAATATCTTAATAGGTAACATGTTTTAGTCAGGATCATACATTTATTGAAAATTGATAGTATTAGTTATATGCAAATATATATATATATGCGAATATGCCGTTCTCCAAAAAAGAGCTATAAGATTAGCAAAATACATGGTATACATATGTATGTTATAGACGGTTTTGCATGATCTTTTTTTCCATTTTCATTTTCATTTTCGTTTACATTTTCATTTGGWTTTCTGCTCTTGCAGTAATAAATATTTTTCTACAGTATTCATATACGTTCAGTTTATAGACATAATTGAGGTCAGCATACATTTCTACAAACATCAAAGGTTATACACACATACATGCATTAATAGATTTTTGTGTTGTTGTCTAGTCTATTAGAGTTCTCGGAGCAAACGTAAACAATAAATATGTGTCTACATGTTATGAAATACTGCTAGGAACTTGTGTACCTATTCAAAATTGAGCTTATAAAATGCTGCATGAATTCTTCTCGCGAAATGGATTCACTTTTTGACTGGTGAATCCACTTAACAGACAATCATCCGACTCATGATCTATGATATATTTCATCATGGCATTACACGCTTCCGACACCTGGATGCGGTTTATTCCCGCCTCACGACGCAGTTGCTCATTGATGGTGCGCTGCTGTTGCAAATTCGCAGCCATAATATCTAGAACGGCAGTCTCGGCAAGACCTATGGTGAAAGTCAATAATATTTGTTGCTAGCGAATAATGTTTTGCTGCAAATTGAGGCTGTTTAGCTCTAAATAGTTAAAGTGAATGTAATAGAATTTACCTTGAAAAGCTGTTTTTGGCCGCAAGCTCGAGCTGTTGAATCGACGAAAAATCAATAGCGTTTGATTCAATTAACTTGTATCGCTCTCAGTCGAATGAATAACTATCGATAATAAAAGCAACAGGAGCAGCAGACGCCACAGTTGCAACTTGCAACAGCTGATACGGCGCTGCCATATTGTTGAAAAGTAAAAAACGCTTTGGTATTTTTGTTTTGTATCAGTTTTATTTGAAATTGCATGTTAACATTTGTATTAATTGTTCAAAAAATATAAATATAGCATATTTCTATGTAGTGAGGTACCTCAATTGAATTGCTACGTAAGCATGCTAAATAATAATAACATTTAATATGTAAATTGTGTATTCTAATTTGCATATTTTACTTACTCTGGCATTAAGTCTGGTTGCGAAAGCTCTTTAATGTTATTGTTATTGACTGCTTGCAGCTCCTTGTTAAGCGCGAGCTGACCATTGGACTTTCTAAAAGCATTTGCCATCAGTAGTATATTTCGTGCTATACGCTCATCATCTATGCGCTTCTGCGCCGTATGTGTGCGCTTATCGGCATTCTCCGACATTCGTTGCTCCAATGGTAGGATGGCAGCTGGAATAGCTGATTCCGGATTTGTCCAGATTTCGGCGCCGGGTGTTTCCTTACCCGTGGTGGGCGAAATGGCTGGTCTTGCTGGTATCAAAGGTGAACGCACACAGACACTAATTATGGAACAAAAACAGAACTTGAATTTTATTTGCTTAGATCACTAGTCACACTCTAAATTCGTTTTTTGAAAACATGATTTGTCTATTAAATATTGTTCAATTTGTAACGTATATAGCCAATTATGCCCCAGCCCCTGCCCCCGGTGCTGGCTCGACACATGGCTCATTGTCCTCGCTCAGTTTCAACCTATAACGAGTCAGAAAGGAGACGACAATGAGCCAGAGTGTTGTGCCCTCAATCAATGGTTCGAGTTTCGTTCTTACTTACTTGTTCACTTCCTCCAATTTCTTGAGCAAACGCTCATTTTCCCGGCATACAATCTCTTGATCCCTTAATATGGTCTCGCGCACTGTGAACAAATGGTTATTTTCCTGTCGCAGAGATTCATTCTCTGCCATATACAGCTTCACAAGCTCTGCCAGTTCGCTGCCATCGAGCTCTGGCAAACGCTCTAAGTCCATCTTTGGTACAGGAATGCCAACATCTCCAGTGTGAACGCGTTCCAGTTGTAGCTCCAAGAGATTGTCCATCGGCTCAGCCGCCTGATGATGCAGATTCAGCGCCGCTTTCAGATGCTCATTTTCCATCTGCAGTGCATGGATGTCTCGTTTGAGACTAAGAATGAGAGCCTCTCGCGGATCCATCATGATGACCGGTTTTGTCCGTATACGCTTCGCTCGTGATGCATAGCGCAGTGTATTAAGCGTCTCAGCGTGATTATAATGTGCCGGCGAGACGCAGGCAATCATCAGTGTAACCCCATTCCCAGCTAGACTGTCGGCCAGCAGCTTTGTTAGCTGACTATCCCGGTACGGAATGTGTCCGGTACGTTTTTTATTATCGCTCAGCGACGAAATGCAGTAGCCTAGCACCATGAGACTCTTGTTGATATTGTTCGCCTCCTCCAGCGTCTTACCCTCACTCATCGTCTTCTTCGTCAGCTCGCTTCCAGCCAAATCTACAAAGTTAATTTTGCCATGCTTGGAGAGAAAGACGCCACCATCTGTTTGTTGGTCCGACAGTATGTGAACCGTTAGTATCGTATGAGAACGTGATGAATGATCATTCATCGCATGCGAGCCCACAGAGCGATTTCTCATACCTAAAGTAAAGTAAATATTTTCTTCAACTACTCATTTTTTTCTTTCTTCTTCACCTACCCTCTTCTAACACGGCCAGTAAATCGTCTAGTTCCTCGCAGTCCACCGTAAATAAGTTCTCCACAAAGAAACCGCCAGATTTTTTGGACCAGCGCACGGCAAGAGGCTTACGTGCGCTTCCCGGATTAAGCAAATCGATTACCTGTTCATGAAAAATGCAAATCAATTTTCAAAATCAACTGTTACGTAAAAGTTCTCTTTGCGCAATTGCCTCACTAGACTAACAAATCATCTAAAATGAAAAGTACATTTCTAGCATAGCTACAATTTGACCAATCCAGTTGCAGATAGAGGAGAAGGTGACGGAAATGTGGGGATGACGTGTTGACCTCCATCAAATAGAGGTCAATGCTATGCATACTAAACTAGTCCAATGATATTTGCAGATGGCTCCAACGGAAAAGCAATCACTATTATGCAATCCAATTTTAATTGGATATTTAATTAAGTTCCCCTACATTCCGTAGGTCAGGGGCGAGTTTAATAAAATTTACATAATAAAAATAAATAAATGCAATTATAAATACAAATTACTATTACTAAATAAATACAATATAAATACAAATTACTACTATATTATGGTATAGATTGTCCTCATGCATCTAATGCAAATTCTATAATAATGTGATAAAAATTATTAAATAAATTTAGTATATTTAGGATATTGATTATTTATATCTTACACTTATAACTCGAGATCTGCTTGACCAATTTTCATGGTTTTTGATTTGTTGGATTTGTCTCCGCCCCGATTAGGAGAGTATATCTTAAAAATACTACAAAATTGACGAATACTTGAAAACGCGTTATTTTCCTTATTGCTATCTTTGCATTGTCATTGAGACTCAGTAGGCTTGACAACAGTGTCAGTTTTCGGTCATGCTCTCATGTAAAAAAATTTATTATATGTAAATATCTTTTCATAGGTTGTCTATGATTTTTCTTGATACGCTATTATCTATGACTCGATTGTTTGATGTGGTTTTGTGCGGGTGCCGCGTCCTAGAAGATCTAATCTTTCCCAGCGGACCCGTAATGCAATTAAGCAACGGAATATCGTGAGTTAATTATCTGACGAAGAACGAGAAATCGCCCGAGAAGAGCGCCGCGTTAGTATTGAGCAAAGAAGGACCTTAATTCGTGCTTCTCGAACACAAGTGCAAAGAGAGGCAGCCTATGAAACGGCTAAATTAGAAACGAGAAATCGTCGAGCTTATCGTACAGATGAACAGAGGAATAATCTTCGAGTTCAAGAAGAAATGGCTCAAGTATTGTATTTTCCAGCAATCACTCAAAAATACAATGTCTGTTTCCAAATGACTTCATTTGGGGCGGAACTTATTGAAGAACACGGATATAATCCATATAATCCTGATTGTTGGTGAAAACTTGGAAGCACGTTATATTGTGCTTACACGACGCAATACTGGGCAACTACAAAAAATATATAAAACGCACCGTTCATATGACGCGTTACAATACCCGCTGATGTTTTGGCAAGGAGACGATGGATATCACTTTAGTATCAAAATGACTAATCCATTGAATGGTAAGATCAATATCATTGTTTTCATTTTAACTTTATATATACTTTATTCTGTTTGATTTTGGTACATAAAAAAATATTATCACTCTTAATTTAGTAGAGAGTAGCTTATTAGGGGTTCTAAAATACACTTTTTACTGTATTTGTTTCAAGTGGAAAAACTACCAAGAAGGTTAGTTCGATAAATTATTACGCATATTGCTTGATGATTCGTGAAAATTCTGACAATTATTAATTATATATATTAATATTGTTTTGTATTATTGTATTACTTTCATCGAGGCCTAAATTAGTTCAGCTAAAAGGTAACACGACATCACTTACTGATTTTGATAAAAAAAAAATTTGACAGCTCCGAAATTAAAGAACTTTTAGAGAAAATAACGTACTTTTCAAGTATTCGTAAATTTTTCAGTTTTTTTTATACCCTGAACCCATTTTCAATGGGAAATCAGGGTATAATGGTTTTGTTGAAATGTATGTAACAGGCAGAAGGAGGCGTGGTAGACCCCACAAAGTAAATATATTCTTGATCAGGGTGACGAGCTGAGTCGATTTGGTCTTGTCCGTCTATCTGTCCGTCCGTCTGTCCGTATGTATGAACGCGTCGATTTCCGAAGATATNAGCACGACAGCCTAGTCGCTTGCTCGCGTCTATCACATAAACTCTGTAAACTCTAATAATCGCTAATAAACTAATCATTAAGTAAATTCAATCGTTTAATAATTTAAAGCTATTCGAAAAATCTCGATAGCTCAACAAAACCCTTAGCGAAAACCAGTTCTAAAATTATATCTTCTACACCTTTATTGCTATTTTTAATGTATGCTTATATGCAATTTATACAATTTCGGTTTTTGTTAAAATTTACCCCCCACCCATATATCCACCCCCTCACCATTACTTTTGTAAAAAGCGTATTTAAAATACTAGAGATTTGTGCTTTGGCAAATATGCATATCCATGTTATAATCATAATCTAAAAGTTTCATGAAGATCGTAYGTCCACAAAAAAAGTTATTAAACAATTAAGTTCTCATAGTAAGCGTACACTGCAGCCCATGCGTGTTTATACTTGTGTGTGTATGTGTTTATGTAAGTGTGTGTGTGTGTATGCGTTTGTGTGTGTATGCCTCTGTGTGCGTGCGTGCGTGTTTCTTGGGTAAGCTGAAAGACGCGAAAAATTATTGAAGTAGCTATTGCTCCAAGGGTTCAGGGGATCTCGTAGTCGAGCAGTCTCGACTATAGCTTTCTTACTTGTTAAGATATATTCTGCTATTCGAGGCGGAGACAAATCCAACAAATCAAAAACCATGAAAATTGGTCCTGCAGGTATCGAGTTATATATATATATAGACTGTTAGGCGGTATGAAGTTCGCCGGGACAACTAGTAAAATATAAACATGAAATCAAATGGATTTTATGAAATGTAAATCGAAATATATTGAGGACAACTTTTGTTGTTTTATGTGAGTAAAACCAAATACGAATAGTGACAGTTTTATCAGTTAGTGGTTTTTTACAATTATGAACCTTAGCATGTGGTTTTGCTATATTCTCACCCGTTCATTGTAAATCTCCATAAACGAAGCCTTAAGAACATAATTAACATCCGTGCGATTCTTAATCAATTGGAAGAGATACACAAACGACCGGAATATGAGTCCATGCCTTGGATCCTTTAGATTGGGCTTGCCCACAAACTGCATGGAGAATGATATTGAAACGAATATTTTATGTAATTGTACTGATCCATTCATTTACCAAATCTGGAGGCCCAGTTAGGGTATGCGTCTTCCCTGAGCCTGTTTGTCCGTAGCAAAACGCCGTACAGCTGAAACCCTCAATGCCCATCTCAATAATGCGCTTGATGCCCGAGTAGTCGAGTATATCCTCCTGTGTGGCACCTGGCTCAAATACCACGTTGTACGTGAATACCCGCACACTGTCGCGGTTGTGCGAACGCTTGGCACCCGTGTCGTTGCCCTCGATCTGTGTAAGGCAGGCTTATGTTACTTTCTATTCTAAGAGCTTAACCCGTCTTGGACCTACGATGACTTGTCCATTGCCAGGAAACTTTAATGTGGCTCCGTGCCTGTCACGTTTCTCCTTGTCGTTTAAAGGCCGAACACGCACCACCACGTTGATATTGTCCTCTGGCGTTGAGGGCTCCTCGCTGCCTGTGCCCGTGCCCGTGCCTGTGCCTGTGCCCGTGGACTTGGAGGCCACAATTTCCAATGTGTCCGCACTGCCAATTCTGTACAAGCACACCCAAAACTCAACTATTAAAATTTTGTGGGGAAATTAAATTAAAATACTTTTATATGGTATTGATACGCTTTTCACATATGTGAATCGGAGATTGTGGGGCAGTGTAAGATAGGGCTATGTGATATATGTACATATGTGATTATATTTGCATTCGGGAGGGAGTACCTAAAGACTTATATTCATAAAGACAATGGTATAAAGACTATTTGAATTATAAAGTGTTCAATAATGAACTTCCGAATTGAAGTATCTATGAAGGAATATGCATTACTTTCAATTAATCATTAGATAACTATAGCAATGATATTCTTATTTAAATAGAATTATTATTGATTTTTTAATAGATTTTTATTGGAAATTTTAATACTAATTGACTATGAAAGGTGAAACCCCCAGTTTCGTCTATGGTTTCGAGCTCTCCCAGCCTCGTTATCTAATTGGTTGATTCAATCATTCTATTAGCCAACACAGTCTGTCAAGGCCAGCTGAGTGTGTAATATATTATAATCGTTAGAAGCCATTGTTCTTGACTAAATGGACGTGGAGTCTATGCGGAATACCTCACGTAATTCCGTTATTGTAATGAATTATAATTTTTTGTTTTGGTTTAGGTTTGTTTGTTGTGGCCAATGCAAAATCGCCTGTTCCAATTCCCTTGAACTTGATGACGCCCAGCTGATTGAAGGTCCTATTTATAGCCGAGGCTAACGATAGACCCAGAACTTTTGGTTTTTCTCTCAGCTAATTAAATTCGGGCTATTACGAGAAATCGCGTGGTCAACTATGATTAATACAACTTTTCATTTCAATGACATTTCGGAGCTGTGCAGAAATTCTGGCAAATGCGAGCATTAACATATAAGTTAATATTAATTGAGAGAAGTTGATGACATTAAAAAAAACCCGTTTAATTTAGTCAATTATAAAGCTGACAACAACGAGGCGTATTCGTAATAAACAAATCTCCCTCTTCCCCTTGGACTTTGACATTTGTCTTTTCATATTTAATATTTTCACGCAAATTACTAATTAAATATTAATGCAGCTAAGGACAGAATTTCGGTAAAAGAAAAAGATATTAACCACTAGCCATGTGAGTAAATATATTAATCAGACATAATCTACGCCTTGGTTTTGTGTGCACTTGATAAATATTTTAACAGGAGGCCAACGCCACGAAGTAAACTTCGTTCACAGTCACGAACCAAAGTGGACTTGTCTTACCTCCCAGTCGGCTCTTCACACAAACCCCTTGGAAAAGTTCAATCAACCTATGTCCACTTGAAATTGACTCTAAATACTTAATAAGCCGCAAACATTCTAATGGAGGCTTTAGTTTCTTGAAGGAAAAACTTATAAATAAATATATAATTTTGATGTGTAGTATGCGGGGTCTTGAACCAAAAAATATTTGGCCTTCGAATAAAAGTAGATTTGAATAAAGTTTTAAATTATCGTTAATCATTTCTTAAAATATTTTTGCCATTGACTAAATCTAAACCGGATAAATCTAGACTCGGATAAGTTCTTAAAACAAAAATATAATTTATATAAGTTATCAATACTGTAGAGAGTTTTTGAGTATAAGTAAAGTCATAGAATATTATTTGTATACTACTTAAATTAAATTCATGTTTTAAGAACTGAAGGTAAAACAAATTTGTTGAAAATTTGTTCATACTATGAATCCATTCTTAAGAATAATATATCCTAGCACCTATAAGGATAAGTTCATACCAGATTACTATCGCGAAAATTAGTTTACTGGCTCAATTTCCGTCATGCTGTCCGTCCGGTCATCAGTTCACTGTAGCCACTATTGAAGCTATAGACTTGAAATTTTGAAATATACTCGGGTTGACACCTCAAAATATCATAAATCTTGTATACACGAGTAGGTATGCCAAATTTCAGCTCTCTAGATCGTATAACTTCAGAGATCAATTTGCTCATACGGACGGCCGGACGGACAGACGAACAGGGCTATATCGACTATACTTTATACTTTGTGGGATCTGCCACGCCTCGTTCTGCCTGTTACATACTTTTCACAAAACCATTCTACCCCGATTTCCCATTTTCAATGGGTTCAGAGTATAAAAATAATAGTTAATGAAATTATAAGTTCAGTCTGAGAAAAGACTCAAAAAAAGTGAGGCCATTAGGGCAATATTAATTATGTCAAACGACCACTGCTAAATAGCTCGTCTCTCTGAATACCTATAATTAGGCACCTACTTTTAGCACTAAGTGCTTGTGTAAACAATAGTTGGGTTTGTTTTAATATAGACTGCACTAGATCCGATGATGAATAACTGTAATAAGTCTGTTTACTTGACCTCTACTAAACATACTGTCCGTATACGTATATTTTCCATTTTAATTTTGCTTAGACACAAATCGAACCACTTCGTATGATGAGAGTTTGTTTAGTGAAATACGGAATACCAAATTAGATTAGCAGCAAAAGAAAAAAATAACAATAAATAAATAAAAATAATAAACATARTACAGATATGTGTTTATTAGAAAATATTAACACATGCGCTGCACACATAAGACAAATTAACATTATTAACTGTTTGTTAATTTAATGGGATCAGCCATGTATGTAGCTATGTACGCTCGTTTATGGAGCGTATGCTCTATTAGCTCCCACTCTGTGATCTGGCCCAATTATAGGCGTCATAATCATTGAAGTGCGCGCATGTTAATACATTTTGATTAATGTTTGCGCTGATAGCTGCCCAACCTGTCATATGAGTTTCCATGTATGCATTCGTTTAAAATACATCTATACTCTATAAACGTATGTGCTAATATGGATTTTTCGTAGGTTTCTCCAACACAAGGGATTAGATAATAATTATACATGGAACAACAGGGACACGGAATGTGGCACAGATAATCAAAATTGACATTTCGCTCCCTACATTTTTCGTTGCACGAGATTGTTATTAGTCCACATACGAGTCACCCAAACGGATTACTCAGTTGTACATACGAACGCTCCACTATAGTGTATATTAGATATAAAAGCGAGAGTTGCAAGCTATTTTTCTACATGCTAACTAGCCCAATCGGGGGTCGTTACATTTTACTTTTTGTGCAAACAGTACAGAGTATGAGCGTTGCAGTTGGGCCCAAATGAATGTATAATACTCGTTCAAACTGTACAGATTAGTGAAATTGAGACCTACTGTGGAAAGGACTTTTCGTCAAAAAGAGAATGATCGTTGTTACAAATCCATCGGATATTTGAAACTGGGAAGTGGTTTTTCGGAAAATCTATGTAACAGGTAGAGGCAGGCGTGTGCGTCAGTCAGTATGAGCGCCGAGATCCTAGAATATATAAGGCTAGATACTTAAAATTTTATAGATGTTGGACCACGTCCCCATCAATTAGGGGAGATTTATGATTAGGCAAATACACTCCATTGAACGTTCTTATCACGTTCTGATATTTGAGAAATTATTCAACAATTGAATTCTCTCGCACTAAAGTGGAGCCTAAGCGCAGTCGCTGCTAGCTGCTCATTTAGAAGACAGCGCGCATGCGCATGTGTGTATGACGAAATCGTAAAATGATTGCAATATTATAAGTTTGCAAGATTCAGGGGATCTCCTAGTCGAGCAAATTACAGAGTATTTTTCGATATGCCACGTCCCTAAGAAGGCGAAAAAATTATTTTTGGGTCATCGATAGAGGATGTTACTAGTAACTTAACTATCTAAATTTGAAGCTTCTGGCTATTTACTTTAGGAGAAATAAACTTTTGAGGTCTGCCACGGCCCTTGTGGGCGGACATATATCCGACAAAGATTTTTGGTCTTGGATACTCAGCCCTAGTATATATACAAAATTTGAGGACTCTAACATTGATTAATTAAAAAAATTACTATATCTTCAGGTCCATTTTGCCACGCCCCTAATGGGCGTAGACATATATTTAGTCATCAGACTTTATAGAATCATAACATTAACTTACGTGCAAAATGGCATATCGGAAAATGCATGAATTTAATTATTTTCATGCCTTCTCAATGGGTGCGAATGGGTAATGTAACAAGTAAAAACGTTGCAGTTCGGCGTTGCCGACTGCAGAGTACTCATTCACGGCCCGATATCCAATTGAAACGCCCCCATTTGGTATGTATATGTAAGGAAATCGTGCAATAGTTCCGGCGGTGTTTCAATTTCTGCTAGTTTTACTTTTCCTGATGAGCAACACATCCCGACCGGCTCATTTTTAAATTTAACGGCATGGCACTACGGGTATTCCTTATCCAATGTATCAGGCTCATACTGAAATGCTAGGTGAACAAATGAATGTGATGTAAATACTCGAAGTACTTGTTGACGTTGTCGGCCAATTCCTCTACGGCTGTTGACTAAGAATATGCGTGCTTCTCTTCGTTCTAATTGTTTTCCTGGCTTCGCTCATCTCGTGCCTCTTGCAATTATGATGCACGTAACTGCGCCATGCTCACACGGGCACTTGCACTGCTTTGTTGCCTTTCTTCATCTCATCTTTGTTGTATGCTATCTTGCATGCCTCTAGGTTAGAGTGTGCGACGACTCAAATCAACCCACTTGCGTTTTCGTGGTATTGTTGTCTGTTAGTCAAACATAAATAAATCAAGTTGAAAAACTGTTTGGTGATAAACAGGGACGTAATTTGTATTCGATTGCTCATTCACGTATTAATAAAATATGCATGAATAATTGTTTAACATGAGAGCATGACCGAAAACTGTCACTGTTATCAAGCCTACTGTTATATAATTTTCACAAAACCATTATACCCCGATTTCCCATTTTCAATGGGCTCAGGGTATAAGAAAACGGATGATACCTCACACTTTAAACTTAGAGCCATGAAAAATAGATGTTGGCCGATTCTCAGACCTACCCAACCTGCACACAAAATTTCATGACTATCGGTCGAACCGTTTCGGAGGAGTTTGGCAACAAACACCACGGCACTAGAATTTTATATATATTATATA